ATTAAAAAGATTCAAAATCTTTTGCCTGTAGCAATTAGAATAGATAGTTTGTGTTATTTTCTTAACTTTCACAAAGTACGATCCTAAAAAGTTTCAGACCACATACTGCTCTATACACTAACTTTTTGTGGATACAAGAGTTTATAACTGCTTTATAATTGACAAAGTTTATTGCAAAAGCCTGATTCGATTAATTGATTTATTAACTAATTTAATAGAGAGATTTCGAAAAGTAGTAAATTGCAACAACAAAAATTCTTTTAATATTATTTTAATTAATTTAGGTTTTGGCTGACCATACACCTGTTTCGAGTATTGCCAAATACTTATCATCATTAGTGGTGTTGGAGTTATTTCTTGTATTAAATTATGCTTTAATTACAATTTTTTGAGACTGCAAGTATCAGGAATTGAACTCGTGCCCTGCCAAATTTGAAGTGCAAAGTCAGCGTTCATTAGCCAACTGACCCAAAGCCGTACTTGACTTATATGTTCGAAAATTGTGTTTTTTGTTAATTTGCTGTGAAAGTTTATTAACAAATTCACTTGCTGTGTTATTTTAGAACAACATCGGTTTATGATTTACTCTAGAATAATTGAATTAATTAATTATATTTTATTTTTAATTGTTAAATTTAAACTAATTTAAAAAAATATAATTTATATACTCTTTCCATAGCAGTATATAAGTATTGACTGAATATTTTTGTGAAAGTTTTCTATACATTTTTAATTTTTTAATTTTTAAAAATTTTTATTTTTTTTTGGTTTTTTTGTGGTGACTTATTCAGCATTATGATTGTAGTGTATTCCTTGTTTAGCGCTACTATGTCTGATTTACGTTACTCTTAAAATATTTTACAGAAATCAACACATTTTTATTATTCAATTCATTGCTTTAACCGCAGTAGAAGCTCATATTGGATAATATCTTTCCTAACCCGACAAACTATAGCTTCACCTTCTTTACTGCTAACTCCAACTTTCTTCGAATCACTAAACCCTAGCAATCCATAATGAATGGCACCCTTATAATCCCATTGTAATTTCTTACAATATCTCTGCTTCATGTGAGGTATCGTAGTATGGTTTTCGTAAAGTGTCGCCTATTATAATCAGAAATGTGTATTATCAGCAAATCCTAAAAAAATATTTATTGAATTTATTATTTATATAATCGTTTTATTTTAGATTACAATCATTAGCGTTTAGACATGATGGACCTTGAAGACTTGCCACGATTGGAATCTTTGTCACCGGCAAAGGATCTTGATATCAATGATGACTTGTTAACGAGTTGTATGAACACCGCCAATGGCTTGCGATTTATTTCACAGGTAATGTATATGTATGAAACGCTAAAAATGTTTGATGAAATGGAATAATTATGTGATTATGAATATTGTAAATATCAATAACTCCAAAGTAATATGATCTCTGCAATAGTAAAAAGGATTGCATTCCAAGTCAAATTGATAATTGAATTGAATACTGACAGGGCAATGGGCCTACTACTTCAGTTCATTATTCTTAGTTAACTTTAAAATTAATTTTAGTGCTAACTCACAAATAAATAATAAATTGAATAATAAATAGGACTAGTCCTTTATCGAATAAAGGATATGATTGAATTATATGATTGAATTGAATTCAAAAAAATTTAGTCAACGATATTAAATCTCAGTGACATTTTTAAATAAATATCAATATCAAATAAAATCAAAGCTATAAAAGAGAATAAGTTATATTTAGATACATTTATATTAATTACACTTTTAATTAAACATATATACATAAGTGGATTTTCTTAAATGGAAAATAATAACTTAAGCGATAAAATTGTTATTTTTAGTTTAAATAATATTTTTTACATGCATAATTCTTTGAAAAGATATTATAAGTAATGTAAAAATTATAAAATTGCAAAAAATCTAATTTAAAATTTAAAGAAAAAATATTTTATCACTATACTTACTATTTTTACATTAAATTGAAATCAATAATTGGCAGGTAATATTCGTTAAAATAGGTTCATGCATTATTAAAAGCTGATAATTTAAGAAGATAATTCATATCAAATATTTATGCTGAAAGGCTGAAATACAAGCTGAAATAAATGTTAGAATTCCTGCTACATCTTACTTATTACATATATTGAAAATTTTTATTTTAAATAAAAATCTTAATGATTCAGGCTACATTTTGCAACTCTGTGTAATTCAAATATTTATCAAACATACATATGTACAGAATACAGTAAAAACTCGTTAAACAAACCAAAAATTATATTTATTGCGGATAAATGAAAACATATGAATAATTACACTAATTATTCATATACCATATATAATTGCTACTCGTAATGAAAGAAGAGATTTTTTTAATTAATTCAAATTTTGATATGAACATATAGTAATAATCTATGTGAATATAACTTGTGTATAATTTTTCTTTCGTGTAAAATTATTACATTGAACAATTTTATTCCTCAGAGTCGATGTTTACACTAAATAATCTCTCTAAGTTTCAATTTCGATTAACATAATTTTAAGTGAAATGGCGTTTAATATTTAATTTCAAAAGATATACAAATTAAACGGTATTGAGATAAGATTGATGAATAATTTCAGTTATTGTGAATGGTTGCACACAAATGACAGATTCACAAAATAAATTCAGGGTTGTTACTTAAAACAAATTTCAAAAATTAATTTATTTGTTAATATTAGCTTTAAACTAAATTTTTGTAAAAATTCCAAATATACTGTTGTTTTTAGTCCACATTCTCGTTTTTCGTTTAAATCAATTCTGTAATATTTTTATATCGCAACTCTGCTTTGTAAAATTGTTAAGAGCAACATTATTAAAACAATTGTCTAATGAAATTGTTATATCCACAGTGTGAAACAGTTTTTAATTATAATGTCATGTCGAAATGAAGTCCTTCTCAAACATAAGTACAGACACTATTTAAATATTTAAATTTAAAAAGAACTTTATATGAAATTATTCCATTTAAAGTGTAAACACTTTTCAATTTTATATGACATTGGAATCGAGTCTATTTTAAACACTAGTGCAGACACCGTTTGAACATAAAATTTAAAAGGAATATATAATACTTTCTGAAGAATTATAGATAGAATTGAATGTCCGCCTTTACCCGCGTAAAAGAGCTTACATTGTACATTTCGTAACAAAATGTTACATTAAAGCAAGTATTTGAAAATTGAAATTAATTTGAAATTAAAAATTATTTAAGTACATGCATAGAACAAATAAAATTTGTTTTTAAATTTAATCAAGTATAAAAATTTAATATTAACTTAATCTAATAATAATCTATAATAATGAAAAAAATATAATATGCTCCATTTTAAAATAAAATTCAATATTTGATCATATATAATAGCTGTATTTTGCCGCATCGAATTGAGGCAAACAACAATATGTCTTTTGGTAAAGTCTCTAATTTGTACGCGATAAAACAACAGACTTTCTACGAAATCTCTAGCCATCTAAGAAAGTACAGAAGTACCTATATGTTACCAAAGTGATAAGCGATCTATTATGAACCTTCATTGCAAATTTTATTTAAATTCTTTGAAAACAAAAATATTAAAAAGAAGTTGAATATTTTTGCTTTTTCGAGGATTTTTTAAAAAATATATTAAATATATAATACACATTATTATTGCTTTTACGGAGACTATACAAGATTCCACAATATCGAAATAATATTTCCAGATTTTTTTATATTATAAATAAAAGCATGCAGGTAAATATATTAATAATAGAAACTCTATAATAAAATTAATAAGTAACTGAAACTATAATATATTAAATGAGTTGTCTTAACCTAATTATGATAACACTTAAAATATAAAAAAATATTTACGTATCACTATTTTTTTAATTGAATAAATTATTTCTTACTATTGTCAAAACTATAGTAAATTATAAGAAAATTTGAAAATGTGATAATTAAATAAAACAAAATGCATTAATAATATATTTTAATTTGATTGTTTAGTATTTACTTTACTGTAACATACTATACAGTTCACATAAGTAACTAAATAAACGTCCTTTAATATAATAAATAGCATTTACCATAATTGAGCTGTGCTAACATAAACCAATTATTACTGTAGGCGAATTATTCAATATTTGTTACAATTACAATACATGGTTGCATTTTATTTGAACAAACCACATAGGTTCATGTCAATTTTTATTGATTTGTGCATTCAATCATGTTAAAAAGTATAAAAATCAAATTATACGTTTCTCTTATCACAATTAATTAATAAATATAACAAAACATTTTGAATTTTAAATGATTATAATAAGTCAATGACAGTCGCAATGTATTTTAGTATTACTTCGAGAGATCATACATTTTTTTATTAATTATAACTTGAGAATTCTAATATAACAACATTAATGTTAGTAAAATAATTGTTATCAGGGTAAATTCAACAAATTTAATACATATATTTTATATATATATAAATAATTATATCTAACAAACTGATTTCCATATCATATGTTTTGATTGTATATATACTCTCCACAATAATAATTGTTATTAAATATCAATATAAATCAATAAACAACCATATTATAAACAGTAAAGAACTACCATATTTAACAGAAATAGTTTTTTTATTAATAAGTTTAAACCACGGTAAACCATTTCATACTATTTTTCGAAATATAAAAGTTTTATTTGCAGCACTGAAAAAGCTTTTTCACACATGAGCTTTTCGTTTTGCTCAGTTGCAAATTTTTAACACAACTTAATGGTGAGTAAACCGTACCGAACTGTCAAATGGTGAATCGTCGCGTTAAAGTGGAAATAAGAAAAATACAAAGTTCTGTGAAAATATAATTCGTATTAATATAATAATGTAATAAAATAAACATTCATTAATTGATATTATTAATTCTAAAATTAGTATATAAAATACAATTCATTTATGAATACAGTTTAGGTTCTCAGTTTTTGCATATGCTGAAGTTGTTATTGTATTGTATTGCTCTTCATTTGCTTTTTACTGTATTTCGTGTCAAAGTCGACATGTTTTACGTTTGTTGCTTTCCTCCTCCAAAAAGTTGTGCATATTTTGAAATAATATATTAAGTGCTTTCAATTTTATATTCAATTACGTTTTTTAGTCACAATTTTTAAATTAAAACGCGGACCTGGTGTCAATGGCTGCATGTGTCGTTCGTTGTAAAACTTCTAACATCAAATGAATTAAATTCAACAAGTTTAGTACTTATTTAATAATGTGCATTTCTTTTTTTATATATTTAGTCATAAACTAAAATCGATTGATATGTTGTTTGAAACTAACAACGTGTGAAGGTATAAAATTAATTGTTTCTGTTATTAACGCTGCTCGAATCAGTCAGTCTTCATACACGTATTCATATTTACGAAGTGAGAAGTCACTAACACAAAACAAAACGACCATTTGCACAAAAAAACAACTAATTTCACCATCAATTTTGTATTTTTGTATTTTGTATAAATTATAATCGGTAAAAGAAATTTCTCCGGCGTTTAACTAAGTTTACTTTGTTCCTAAATTATTAAAATGTTACAACCAAAAGCATTGTTTTTTTTTAATATTTTAGTGTAAAAAATACCCCAGAAGCAATACCTGAAATTTTTATAAGTGAAAATACGCAGCAAAGTTGTAGATACAAAGCAACCAAAAGCAAATATTAGTAACCAATATATTGTCTTTGTTTCAACGCAATATAAACAATAAGCGAAAAAACAAATAAAACAAAAAAAAAAATAAAAACAAAACCGAAAAGATTGAGAGTATTTTTCATTCAAGTTCTAAATTCTTTATGAACAATTTATTGTTTTGAAAAAAATTATTCAAGTTCAAGGACGAGTAAAATCAAATAAAGTAGCAAGAACAACAACAACAACAACAGCAGCAACAACGGCATTGCTTGTGCAGATATAGAAAATATCTGGAAAAACGGTTCTTGTGTTAAGTAAAAGTAAAAGAATTTTTGTGAGAAGTTCAAACGAGATTTTTCTAAAAAGCGCGTGGGTTGCCGCACAATATTTCAAGAAACATCGATCATTCAACCCAAAGCAGATACTCAAGAAGGGAGGGGACAATTAAATTGCGTCGCAGAGCCGAACAAAGGTGAGTGTACGATTTTATTAATGCATTTCAAATTCGCAACGGAACACATTTCACCCCCATTCTCACATCACCGCTTGTTCACGCTTTAGTTCTTTTGAGACCTAAAATAAATGCCGACTACGCATCAATTAATTTTTCTCAAACAAACATCACATTAGAAATTGTTAACTACATAACATTATTATATTATGTTGAACCTTTTCCGAGTTAGTGCATCTGGGCACTTTTCCTCCTTGATAGCTGGAGAGTTTCTGCAGAGTTTCACCAATTTCACTGATTTTGACTGAATTTAGTTTATTCCTTATAAGCCTCGTGATTATTCAATGACTGATCTAAGATCGGCGTACCGCCTCGTGCGGTTACTGATTACTCTGAGATTAGATAGTGCTAAGTAAGGCAGCCTGTCGGTTTTAGCATATAGGTCCAGGACTCTGTCCTTTATGTATTTTTTGAACGAATCTATTCTAAGGTCTCTTAGCATGTCATTCGTGCAGATGTACCATAGCACTTTGAAGAGTCTTCGGAGAGCCTGACTTTGAGCAACTTGTAGATTCATAACATAACATATGAATACATATTTATTTCGACACTGATAAGCTGTCTCAAAGAAATGTAGTCTTAAACCAATTCTAGGCGTGTATAACCCCATGTTTAAACAAACTTAATTTATACTTCATTTCCATTTAATCAATATTTCTTTTTCATACAAAAGTTAATTTAAAGGGACAAAAAAATACCCGCTTCAAGCACAGCTTCATTTAGCAATAATCTTAATTTATCCTCCATTTCCATTTAATGGATATTTCTTTTTCATACAAAAGTTAATTTCAACTTAGAGACATAAAAATGCACTCTTCCGGCATAGCTTCATTTAGCAATAATCCTCATTTATTCTTCATAAGTGCTAAAGGATAATTTTTCCTTTATTTCAAATTAATTTAAAGGGACAAATAATGCCCTCTTCAAGCACAGCTTCATTTAGCAAAAATCTTCTTTTATCCATCATTTCTGTTTATGAAGATTTCTCTTTCATACAATCGTTAATTTTAAGGGACAAAATAATGCCTTCTTCAGACATATCTTCATTTAGCAAAAATCTTCATTTATTCTTCATAAGAGCTGAAGGATATTTTTTCTTTGATACAAAAGTTAATTTAATGGGACAAAATAATACCCTCTTCTGGCCGAACTTCATTTAGCAAAAATCTTCATTTATTCCTCATTTCTGTTCAATGAAAATTTCTCTTTTATAGAAAACTTAATTTAATGAGACAAAATAATGACCTCTTCAGGTCCAGATTCATTTAGCAAAAGTCTTAATTTATTCTTCATAAGTCCTGAAGGATATTTTTTCTTTGATACAAAATTAATTTATACAGACAAAATAAATGAATATATTTTGTTGCACTAATTTTAATTAAATTAATTTTGAAACACTGATTATGAAGAAGTGATATTTGTTTTTTTAAAAGTAGGCTTTATTAGGTTTTTAATCTTAATGATGACTGTAACTATGCTCCATATTCACTTGTTTCTTTAAGTTGATGTAATTGTAATTAATGTAAGTGCATTTCTGTTGCAAATCGCATTTGCAATTTTAGTGTTACATTCTTGCATTTTGTACACCTTGCAATGACTGTAAGACTTTGTATACTTCTAATAGGTTAGAATTAACTTCTGCTTTACTATGAATGTTCTTCGAAAAACCGTCCGAAAGTGAAGTATTTTCATACTTCAATATAAAACAAAGAGTACTAGTTTGACCGAATCTTAGCATTATATCACTATGACTGCAATATTCTCCCCAATATATATCTACAAGAAAGACTCTTCTTTAAACAAAACCTAATAGACATAATTTAACAACTTAATTTACATGAAATTTCTGTGTTATTTACAAAATACAACTTCGTTTACCAAAAGAAGACTATTTATCTTATAAAATTAATACTATAAAATAATGGATAATAGTTCAGTTCATATAGTTGTTGTTGTCGTCTGGGTAGTAGACCTGATTCTGATGACACGAACTATGTAAAAACACACTTGGGTGACAAGGCAACACTCAGGTAGAAAAAGAAAGTTTGGAGTTGGAATTTGAATGATATAAACTGAAATATTATTAATCGATTTGACTGGAGATGGAGTTAGAGTCTTTTCTAGACTATTCTAATCCATTGTACATCAGAGCCTTGTTGTGCAAAATATAGAATAAGGTTCTTTGCAGTAGGTTCAAGATTTGAGGTTGAATCTTCAATAATTGTTCTGAATGAGGTAAAATTCAGTAAATAAAAATTGTTGATAATAAATGGATAAATTGTTGACTCTCATAGTATTTTTTTATACAAACATAATCTGTCTTCAGTTTATGGTATATGAAATACTTTTATCTTTACTTCATGTACGTTTAATGATTTTGTTGATAGTTGAGGTTTCTATTTCAATTGAGGTTTTTATTTTATATGAAAATGGTTACATATATATATATATATATATATATAATTCTATAAAAAATAGTAGTCATAATATAATTTGTTTATATTAAGAGGTTTGAGCATATGGTTTTTAAATAAAATTTTATATTTTTTTATTTATCAAATACCAGAATAATATAGGTTTGAATTACGTCTTTTACTTTAACAAGACAAAACAGACTTCAGAGTAATAAAAATTGTACCCATAAAAAAGAATGCAGTACATATGTTATGTTATGGTTTTTACTAAATCTTGAAAAGGTTAAACTGCATAGCAACGGATTTAGTGATTAATCACTAAATATATCGTATATGGAATATGAAATGCTTTGACAAGGAAAATGTTTAAAAGAGAGTTAACCAGAGAAATTTATTTTCTTATATATTTTTTTATTATTAATATTAAATTTTTCTCACTGCTTCTATTGATTGCGAAACAACAAAATTACTTATTATTTGATAATCTATAAACAATTTATGTAGACATCTTGAGCTGCCCCGTAAAGGTATCAATCATGTTAACAGGTCAGTGTCAGGTCAATGTCAGACAGGAAACTATGCTAGTAGATTAAGTCTTCCCTTCAATGGCTCTTGTTGCAACTGAAAGCATACTTGGCTATAGTCACTGTTTCAGTTTAGTAGCGAAATTCTGATATATCGAAATCAGATAATAGTTTTTGTGTTTTTTCTTAAGTGGTCTTAAAAAAGTAAGCTCTCTTTTCGATGGGAAGAGAAGAGCTCTACCTGAATTATGATGTTGATAATTTCTTTTAATTAATGACTTCTAGAATCGTCAAATCCAATAACGTACAAGAAAATCATTTAATGAACATAATTATATTACTATATGCAATATGTGCAGTAGACTTGCACATATTGAACTAAAGCTTTCATTTAAAAGAATTGCTTATTTATTTGATCGATTTGGACTTTCTAGTTCCATTTTATTTCGTATGTTTTATGTAATATATGCCATATTATATAACCAACTTCTAATTCATTTGTCCTATTTTACATAATTAAATAGTATGCAGTTATATTACTATGATCGAAACAAGTTATTAAACTCATTTGCACTTCACAAGGCGTCTGTTAATGTTCATTAACTGCGCAACCATCTTAAGGTGTTATTGTTCTTCCAGCGGAACAGTAAGGCTAGAGTAACAGTCTTGCAGTATTATGCGTGTCTTTCTTCAACACTAATGTGATTTATGTTATTCATGTTCTTATTCAGCTGACATAATTCAAATTTTAATATCTACTCACGAACTAGTTCATTGGATTAAAATGAAAATGAATGGATTATAATTCACAAGTACAGAATGTAGTATCTAATTATATGTAATTTAAAGCTTTAAAAATTTGTTAAAAAACTTCACCGAAAACTCATTTTAAAATAAAAGTCACATATTTTACTAACATAATAATTAAATTTTTCCAGTATATATCAATAATATTATTTTCTTTTTTCTTTTTGCAGAAAACCCCTCCCTCAGAAGCTTAATTTTGTTAGCAAATATCAGTTAGCATCAATTTGAAAACTGCAGTAAAGTAATCTATATTTTAAAAAACTATTCGAAAAAAATAATTATAAATCGTGTTCCTCTGCGCAAATCAATTGATTACAAGGAAACGTTATTGAGAATCGAGTAGGCGAAATCAAGCGGAAGAATATTGTTACTATTTACAAAAATTAGAAAAACAAAAGCGTCAAGATGAGGTCGAATAAAAAATCGTATGCTATAAAAATATTGCAAATAGCATTGGCATTGAGTTTGTTACAGGGGGATCCTGATATATATCTGCAACAACGTTTACGTAGCTGGGACTCTCAACTAGAACTGCGAGATGGTGATGGTTGGGAGTTGGAATTGTTGCGTGCTGTGCCAATGGTGGAATATCCCTATGCCAACCGAAAAACTATGATGCCGTTGATAGAGGATTTAATACGTTATGATCGACAACGCGAGAAACATAATCATCAAAATATAACGGCATATTTGCTGGTACATAATGATCTTGCTACAAATCAAACAGCTGCAATACAAGAACTACAAGCAACGCCTAACGCTCAAACTGTTAGTAACCCAAGTACTGGTGCAGCTGGGCTGGAGCATGTAAATGCAGCAAATTTAGCATCTACAGAATTAAATGTAAATGCTTCTCGTTTGAGTCCAATACCGGAACTAGATATGTTTTTAAACTTGGATACAGCTTTTGATCCACGTCCGATATGGGAGCAGAATTTAGCAAATTTAAGTGATTATGGTGATTTGTCTGGACTAAACCATTATAATGGATTGCCTCTGAAAGATGAGCCTTCAAGTTCAACATATTTAGATGTATATTTACCAAATTTTTCCGACGATAGTCTGAAAGATATTAAAACTGAAGGAGCGACTGCGTTGAATGATACATTTCCAAATCCTGGCGATTTGACAAGTATTAAAAATGAGCACTCCGACAATAATGACCTCAATGAACTCGAAGCTTTGAATAATCTTGCTTCATGTTCTTCAAATTCATTATCTCAAAGATGCATTAAAAAAGAACCAGTAGACTCTGAAAAAGATACAAATGATTCGGATCCATTTTTAACTACTGAGGTAACATTTATTTAAGAATTATCAATGAAAATTTGATTATATTAAAATATTATAATAATGAATTTTTCTATTGTCATATATAATAAAATGGAAAGTAGATATGATAAAAACGATTGTAGAATCCAACATCATGCAAAACCTCTTTAATCTAGATTCCAGAATGCAAGTGATCTGTGACCAGCCTTTAGAAATCATTGCGCTTATAATCTAATACGAGTGTATAAGATTAGTTTATATGTCATACTTATAATTTTCAGCATTTTTCCAAAATAATTAACTGAATACAGTATAATAGTAGAGTAGAGACAATCTATTTCTAAGGAAGACACTATCAGAACCCAACACAGTTGACAATGCAAAATTAAAAGAAGAAATTTTCTCTCAACAATACCCGGAAAACCAGATAGATATAATTAAATAACTTCAACTCATATTTGAGTGATTAGAAATGTATCTATTTTATAGAGTATGTCAATTCACTAGAAATGCAATGACATACTTAAATATAGTGTTAGTATTAAATACTAGCACTATTTTTGATATGTATAAATAATAATACAGGCTTATATGGTTCCAATTGAGTGTTTATTTTTTAAAAAATATACCAGCTTGATTTTTATATTTATTGTAAAATAATTTAAAATTTTCTTTATAAATAAAAAAAATATTTATTTTATTTATATCATACGTTCTCATTCCAAAATTTTCATATGCATTAATTTATTCATAAAAAATGCGTAAAAATTGCCTCGCAAACAAACTTGCCATCCTCACTTGCAATGATCAATGTCTCGTAATAAGATTTTAACATATCGCACAGTGATTCAGATTCAACTTTTATTCCAAATAAAATGTATTACATTATTTAATAACAATAATAATAATAATATTTCTGCGATAAGTATTGATGGGAATATTTGATTACCTCTAACTTACCGGTAGCGTGTATTTGTTACAGACCTTATTTTTATTGGATCAAACTCTTTTAATTTGAATAACTTTTATTATTTCTGTTATTTTTAAATAACATTATTATATGTTATTTATATAATATATTACTATTTTATTATGATTATAATAAAATTAAAATAATTTGTTATAATTAAAATGAAAAAATTATATCCGAATATTATTTATATTATATTTTATATATAATAATATATATGTTATTATATTTATTTATATTTATATCTCATAGCATATTTCGTTCAGTACTACAAACCCAAGACACTTTATGGTACACATATTCTACATTTAAAAAAAAATAAAAACATATAGAATTTATACTCGAAAAAATCAACAATATCTGGAATTAACAAAAATGTTAAAAAGACAAGACGAGGCATTTGGATAAAACTTACACATTTTTTAATTTAATTAGTTTAGTTAGTAGTTAGGATTAGTTAAATTTAAAATAAAATTTGCTGAAATAAGGTTTGTCCATTGCTTTTCTAAAGAATTGACATTAAATACCACATAAAATATATACAATTCTAATAAACTCGAACTTAAGATGGAGGAACATAAAAAATCCTTAAATTTAAATTACTCAGATATTTATTTTCGTGAGACATTTTTTTTACTTACCTGTAAATCTAAATAGGCCCACTGTGCTTCAAAATAAATCAGTGAATCGCTTTGGATGTTTTTTATATTTCATATTTAAATAAATATAATGAATTTGGAAATGTATTTTTAAATTTTTTTTTTTTTTTAAATGCATTTTATTTTATTTAAAATTTTTTATTTCTGTATGTGTATTTTTTTATAAATTAAGGCCAAATTTTTAACAAATAATTATTTTGCTTTAATAAATGTGGCACGAAATTTATTGTATATTTAATAAATTACAATTTATTAAGTATAGGAAAATATAATAAGCACTCTATTATAAGAAAATGGCACATAATGGACACAACTCCTTTGAGAAAAAAAAAACATTACTGAAATATTAAAGTTCTTATATAGCAGAAATTAAAAAAAAAATTAGGTTTTATGAGATTTGTGAAAAGTTTATTGTTTTTCCAAATCAATTAAATGGATTTAAACCATATTTATTTTTAATCTCATTAAAGGAAAAGTACAAATAGATCTAAATCCATGTTGTAGTATTTTCCTAGCTATGTTTTGTCGCCAACGATCAAAAACTACTCACAACATCCACCCAACGTAGTTTCACAGTTGCCAAAAGAGCTGGGAACAACAATATTAAATATTATTAAACTTAAGAATATTTAATAGACTAAGGTCCATATATCTCCAATTTGATGTTTTTGACTACAATTATTTTTTAGGCGACGAGGTACACGAACACTAGATTACAAGGCTTCACTAACTATTCCAACAACAATAAATACTATATTAACTGACAGTAGAATTGATAGATTTCTTTAAGCTAACAAACTAAAGTCCCTTTGTTGTTTTAGTGTTTTTGATTTTATTCAATTTAGTGACCAATAAATTAAAATTTTATATAATACGAAACTGTCTTTCTTGGCTTCAAATAACTCTTAAACTCTGTATGATCGAAAAGGCTTCTATTACATAAAATTATTAATAAATTAAATAATAAATTAAATATTATAATAATTTTTTTTTAGGTTTTCTTTAATGTTTATACAATGACAATAAGTTATATTTGAAATAGACTGTAATGGTGAAGAATAGGGTTGTCTAAAGCACGGTCCGAGAGTCTCATGCGATCCGCGGTTAATATTTTTTCGGCCTGCGACATGTTTTTACTCTACCACAATTACGCAAATTTTTTTCTGTTAAATTTTAATAACATTACATTATTTTATTTTCTTGATGTCCCAAATAAATGAATTAAAATGTTTTCAAGAATTTATTACACGTTAGTTTACTTAATTAGCAAAGACTTTAGTACATAATTCTTTGTACAACTGGTTCAAAAAACTCGTAATCTAGTGCCATAAGTCATCAGATTTAAAATAAAATATTTTTCATATGGCAACAATTAATTTTAATAATGTTGATATTGATAAAATTGTTAAAGATAAATTAAGGAAGAATTAAAAAAACTAATTCTCGCCGTATTTTTATTTTTCTCTGACAAAATTATAAATATATGTATTTATTTCTCCAACCCTCCACCTTTTCAGTGATTTAAATTGGCCCGCGATTTTATTGGGTCTGGACATCCCTGGTGCAGATTAAACAATTATTTTTTCCTTAGGAAGTTTTTTGTTTTAGTCTTGTAAAGGTGATATCAGGTTGATCACTAATGGTTTGGATTAACCTGTAAACAATGTGTATACTTTTATAGTGTTTTGGATTGGTATCGAGATTACTGCTAGATTTATGTCTGCTGCAATCAGGAACCGTAACTGTTATTATTAAAAACATATAAAAACAAATACAACACATAGTAAAGCTTATTATTTTTTGTTTTTTAAAATAAAATACTAAAAAAAAATGTTGATATGTTGATAATCTTCAAATTTGACTGATGAATCAAAATAAGTTAAGTCCACAGGTTTGAACGCAGATGAATACCCAATTATTTTGTGTCTATTCTTCGTGATAACTGTGCAGTCTCAATTGAGACATAGTTGATGAGTTTGTTCTATAGTACTAAGTTTTTGATTAAAAGACAATAATTATAGCTAATTCAGTTGCTGTCTTCAACCTCACTGAATAAAGATATAGATACAGAACTGAAGGGGGAAATATTAACACAACTTTAATATAATATAATTAGTTATTAAAATCTATTATGTTAATCTCTAAACCCAGGTTTCATACTTGAACTGAACCTGTGCTTCTAAAACTGACAGTTATGATGTGATCTTCTCTGTTTTGCTGCTTTCAAATTTGCTTCACGATTTTATTTTTCAACGAATTAAGCTACAATAATTAACCTCTTAAGAGTCAGATTTTGCAAAATTCATTAAAAAATTTAATTATTTTCAAATTTTGTGCTCAGTTATCTGAGCGAATGTTGATAGAACTTTTTGATAGAACAAAGTGGCGCATATAAAATCCAAGCAGCGAAGTGACTCAGCATTTCTCTCTCATTTAGATTATTTTTTATTTATTTCGAACGTTCAATGAAATTATGTTTTGATTTTTGTTTTGCACACAAAACTAAACTTTGAATTTTCCAATCGTCATTGTATTATATAGATATAAAAAATATATATATATATATATATATATATATTTAATATTTTATTATATACTGCACATATGAAAATTAGTGCATTTTTCCTTTTACTTTTAATTTACAAATTATTAATATTGTTTTTATTATGTCAGACAATTTTTTTTTGTCATTGAATATTTTGAGTATTTATAAAATAATTTTTGATTTTACAAGTATTTTAAATAAAAAATTCTCGTTCAGGTTACCTTGACTAGAAAAGTGTACCGAATATTGTTTATTATATCGAAAACATAACACACGTTGAATTGAATATATCCATATATATATATATATATATATATATATATATGAATATAATATATATATCTAATATTTTCTGGAATATGTAAATTACAAAGCTTAGATATATCCTTAGATCGTAACTTTAGAGTAAAATTTTAAGAAGAAAACAAAATCAAATGGGTGAAGGTTGCCGTATGTCTGAATGAAATTCTTATTTGACCTGGATTTTTTGGGTTGTTTTTTTTTATTTCTGTTTAAAAAAAGTATGATAAATATATTTTTTTTAATTGCTTTTCCTATATAAAGTGTGTTTTAATGCTAATTTATAAAATACAGAAATACTGTTTTTGTTTTCTTTTATTTTACTGTTTATTATTTTTTTTCATACATAAAGTTTTAGTCTATGTATGTCTGAGTTTTTTTGAACCATCGTATCTATATAATTAATTTTCTTATGAATTTTGTATACGGAAATATTTATAATGTTTACACTAAATTAATATTGTTATTTATGCATTAAAAATTGCTGAAGATGATAAAATTTAACGAATAACTTAATGCACATAATCAACGCGAATAACTTAGCTTTGGT